AGTTTTACAAGTTAAGCAACCACTTTTACAAAAAAAACGGAGATTTGATGTTCTGACCATCTAATGCTATAACTAGATGGGGTTTTCAAGAGGCAGAATGAAGTTATCTGAAGCCACCTTGTAACAGCTAGAAATGGAAAACTTGCCAAGTTACTATCCTTCAATAGCTTTAAAGTACCATTTTCATTTAAAAAAAAAAAGCTAAATAAATTTGTTTTCTGTGCGTTTTTTGTAGAATGCCAATAATGTTCCCTGAGGACTTAATTAAATGTAGTAAAGTAATTGTAACTTTAAATAACTGAATTATGTGGTAACTGAAGCCTTTTGGAAGTTGGTGGAGTGGGGGGAGAGAGATTATTGTGGTATCTTCTTATGTTTGTTTTGCAGATCACGAAAAATAACCTCAAATGTTTTAAATATACACTTAATAAAAATACTGACTAAAACAGATCTAGGACATAAGCTCTCTCTTGCACGGATCATGTGGAAAGGCATTCTAAGGTTTGTGGTATCACACTGCTGGCTATGTCTTTTGGTTTTGCCTGTTAGCAGAGTAAAGAAATAGATTTCAGAGAAATATAATAAAGAAAATAGATTTCAGAGAGGAATGAAACTGAGATAACTGAACAAGAACCTGGTATAGCTTAGCTAACCTGTGTGGTGATTAGATTAAGTGTGAAGAGACTTGGGTTCAAATTCCCACTCAGCCTTTATTTATTTATTTATTTCTAACTAAATTTATATAGCTGCCCCCCTAAGACATTATATGATTGGCCCAAGAAACAATCTCCTCCTAAGCTGCCTCACAAGATTGCTGTGAGAATAAACTGGGAGATGAGCACTGTGAATTCTTCCTTGAAGACCTTAGAGACAGGGCCAGCCCGCCCATGAGGCAAGGTGAGGTGATTGTTTCAGGTTCCACAGGGGCAGGGGACCCTGATGTAGATATTTATTTCCTCCTCTCCCTGATGTAGAACTTCACTCTCAACTTCTTCCCTGGTTGGGAGCAGGCTCCGTTTTGCGATTCACCTGAGGTGCCAACATATCTTCGGCTGGCCTTACTTTGAGGAAATATGACATGCAAATAAATTATGTGCAAGCAAGAAGAGCCATGGAATTTGTAGAAAGTGTATTATTTATAGGAAGTTGTAGCCCCTCCGATTGTGAAAAATGGCATTTTAAATTATTGTTCCTTAATCAATGCTTGCCTTTTGCTTTGATATGCACCGGGGCATGCCTTCTATTGATATCAACAACTTGACAGGCAATAAAAACAGTAGATAGTGGATTATAACAAATTCAATAAAAGGGTTTCTTTCCAACTAGCTTACCATCAAGACTCTCACTCTGCGTCCTTTTTGTGTTTATGTCAATACTTGCATATATATATATATATATATATATTTGCTTTCGTAGATTTTCACGGGTACAGGAATGCAGGTTTTGGTGTCCTCGGGTGTCTTCCCGTGTAAAAGTTGGGGTGTCTAGGCGACGTTTCGACGAGGTCTCACTCGTCATCTTCAGGCTGGTGCTTTCGGCTTCTTGTTACTGGAACAGAGCAGGATCTCAGTGTTTGAGTTCCTATAAATACTGTTGAGGGGGTGTGGTGTATAGCCTCCAATGTTCTGGGCAGAGAGGAAGTTCCCAGGCTAGTGTGCCTTTTCTTCTTTTGTTCCTTAATTACTTGAGGGATATCTTGAGTGATTTCTTGAGTGATATCCTGAGTACCACTTAGGTGGGTCATTAGGTGTGGATTAGTTGCTAAAGCCTTCGTGTCTTGACCTCTTGAACTTTGTGAAGAGTTTTTCTGAGAAGATGGCTGTATTGCATTTAGTTGTGCTCTGGCTTGGCTTCGTGTATAGGGGCGAGCTGTGGTTTTGTGTCCTGTGCCAGCCAGATCTGTGTAGGGATTGCAGGGGGGTGCAGCATCCGGAGGTGCCACCATGGTTTGGCTACTGGAAGGTGTCTGTAATTTATCTGTGGAGAGGGTCTGGGTTTGGGTCTGGTGTGGTTGATTGGTGATGGCGTTCTGTGTGCCTCTGGATCTGGTGTCGGTTTTTGTGGGGAGGGCTAATTTCCAGATGTCTGGCAGGCGGGATGTGTCGTCATGGAAGCCATCGAGATAGAGAAACACCCTCACAACATGAACAAGCGTGACGACACATCCCGCCTGCCAGACATCTGGAAATTAGCCCTCCCCACAAAAACCGACACCAGATCCAGAGGCACACAGAACGCCATCACCAATCAACCACACCAGACCCAAACCCAGACCCTCTCCACAGATAAATTACAGACACCTTCCAGTAGCCAAACCATGGTGGCACCTCCGGATGCTGCACCCCCCTGCAATCCCTACACAGATCTGGCTGGCACAGGACACAAAACCACAGCTCGCCCCTATACACGAAGCCAAGCCAGAGCACAACTAAATGCAATACAGCCATCTTCTCAGAAAAACTCTTCACAAAGTTCAAGAGGTCAAGACACGAAGGCTTTAGCAACTAATCCACACCTAATGACCCACCTAAGTGGTACTCAGGATATCACTCAAGAAATCACTCAAGATATCCCTCAAGTAATTAAGGAACAAAAGAAGAAAAGGCACACTAGCCTGGGAACTTCCTCTCTGCCCAGAACATTGGAGGCTATACACCACACCCCCTCAACAGTATTTATAGGAACTCAAACACTGAGATCCTGCTCTGTTCCAGTAACAAGAAGCCGAAAGCACCAGCCTGAAGATGACGAGTGAGACCTCGTCGAAACGTCGCCTAGACACCCCAACTTTTACACGGGAAGACACCCGAGGACACCAAAACCTGCATATATATATATATATATATATATATATATGCAGGTTTTGGTGTCCTCGGGTGTCTTCCCGTGTAAAAGTTGGGGTGTCTAGGCGACGTTTCGACGAGGTCTCACTCGTCATCTTCAGGCTGGTGCTTTCGGCTTCTTGTTACTGGAACAGAGCTCTGTTCCAGTAACAAGAAGCCGAAAGCACCAGCCTGAAGATGACGAGTGAGACCTCGTCGAAACGTCGCCTAGACACCCCAACTTTTACACGGGAAGACACCCGAGGACACCAAAACCTGCATTCCTGTACCCGTGAAAATCTACGAAAGCATATATATATATATATATATATATATAAAATCTAACCCACGAATAAAAACAATGTAAATCTAATCATATGTCTCACCCTTCAAATTTAATGACCATTGTAAATCCAAGGCCTGGCTTTCTTTCAAAAGTGGCATTTCAGTCATCAAATGGTTTCAAGCAGCATTGCCTGTTTTCCCAGTATACAAGACAGTGTTGCCAAGTAAACCTTAGCTGGAACTAATTGACTTAAGGCTCTAGGCTTTGATTATAAAATTTCCCCTTCCCACCAAAGGGTGGTGCTCACTAACCAAAAGTCGCTTAACACAGTCAGATCAGATTTGCACCCAATAACTGTTATTTCACTTAATTGACTCCCCCCCCCTTCCCCATTTACAGCTGTTAGAGTTTGCTATTTCCTTAAAAACATATTCAAAATGGATGCTGGAAAAATCTGGAAAACAGTCTCACAAATCTCCTACTTTGAGCTTTATCAGAGGCTTCATATTCACCACATGGTTTTTACAGAGAAAAATGTTAAGGTGATGTGGTTATAATCAGGAAGGATTTTCTTTTCCCTCCAGGAAGGGTTCACAATCATTTGTTAATGTTATTAAGGAACAATTGGAGTTGTAGAGGAACTGGTAATGGGAAAGTATCTCCAAAAGTTTGTATCATGTCCTTGTGACTACTACAAGTGTTTTGTATTAGAAGGTGCAAAATATCTAGATGGGAAAACTTATAGTCCTCTATATGTTTTTGGACTACAAATCTGCAACCATTGGCAATGCTGGCCAGTGCTAATGGAGCTGGAGTCCAACAAGATCTGGAGGGCCACAGTTTCTTCACTGCTGATCAAGAAAACTCTGTTCTGATCCTGGAAACAATGATGAATTTAAGTTGAACCACAGGTAACTTGGGCTTTTGCTGCAAGAATGGGTGAAAGAAAAAGCTGTCTCTGACCCCCTAAGGGTCAAAAGCTGCTGGGAGCTTGCACTTCCTTTTTCATCCTCAGCTGCTAGGTAGCCTGAAAAATTAGAGAAGGAATCTTTGACACATCAGAAAGGTGAACAGGGACAGTTCAGAGTAGGAATATCAGAAAAGCCCTGCTGGATCAGACCAAAGACCTATCTAGTTCTGTATCCTTTTCTTGCAGCAACCAACCCAATGCCTATGTCATGCCTTCTAGTATTGTGTGACTGGAAAAATTGCTTCCATCTCCTCTCCCATTTCAGTTCAGGACATATGGGCTCTATTGCAAACTGGTAGCCTTGGGTGAAATAAATAGGTTTTTACACATGGAACACTTGCCTCCTATATAAATGGAATATGTGACTGAGGTGGAACTTTTATAGAAGAAAGTACAATTTGATATCATGGGTAGGCAAAGTACTATCATACTATTTCATCTGTTAATACTCCGTAGAAATGATTTTCTCTATCTTCCTCTGATGTCTCTAAGCTCTGTAGAATAATCAAGGGCAATGGAGCTATAATTGGAACCCTTGTTAAGCAAGCATGTTAATGGAACGTGGGCATAAGAAACAGATGCTACTATAGAGGAAGAGTATTGGAAATGTTAATCTAATAATGGTTCAGAATAACTTCGGTTATGTGACAGATGTAACGTAAAGTATTCTGAATGTGCTGCTAGTTCTCTTTAATATGAAAAGAATGTTGACAGCACATTCACAGTGCTGAGCTCCTTTTAGATTACATCTATCTTTAGTCTTTGCTCGGTAGCTATGGAACATGCCTTGTCTTCCTGATAAACTCTGTTCAAAATTTCTTTTATTAATGCTTCCAATAAACAGGCTTGTCCTGTAGGCTGAACAAGTTGAGACATATATATATTCCTGACAGTTTATTTATTAATTTTTCCTTCTTTTTAGTGTCTGGAGCCCTGCAAAGAATCCTGGGACTTGAAGAAAAACCATTGCCAAAGTTTCTGTGAGGTATGCCATTTCTAAAGACCTCTTTTTAAAATTCTGTCCTGTATATTTCATTCACACTATTAAATGAGTTTGTTTGATGACAGCGAACTAACAAATAGGATATGTTCTCTATTTCCAGTAGCTGAACAGGACTACAACTGATCGATGACCATAAGCATTTTGAAATGGTCTTCAGAGTCTTTGAAATAATTACTGTTGTATCATTCTATAAGTTTCCTATCAAGTTGTTACGTGTCAATTAACTTTTCTTTCTCGGGCTGCTGTCTTATATGTACAATTGCTGTATACATGAGTCATCAGTGTCCTTTTTCCTTTCGTTGCTGCAACAGCAAGATGTCTTCCACATTTGTTTGTTTATTTAAATGCATAAAGTAACCTACCAACTTTTGATTGACCAATTCAAATGTGCACACAGTCATGTGATACAATCATCCATACAGCACATGGGGAATTGTTTGAAAGCAACTGTACCTCTAAATCACTTGCAGGTGTTGAAGTCCTACATTATGGTTATGTTGGAAGTTGGCTTACTGATATGGAAGCTGTCCACATGCAAGAGGACTTCAGCATGAGTGTACTTTCAAACAAGTGGCTTTTCATGTGCTTTTTGAGGTGGCCTAGGCCTGTGAGGAGGGTTGTGCAGTGTCAGAAGCATCTAGACTCTAGGAATTGGCTACAATGCACATCTTTCTGCTACTCCTTAGCACAGTTTCATTCAGTGGTAAATGCAAAATACATGTCAGTTATTGATGATACACATGTGTAAATTGTAATCCTTCTTAGCAAAAGCGGTGATTATGTGGGCACAGATCTTTTCCTAAGAGAAATCTCTGAGACATGAACAACTATGTTTGGCCTATATTAGAGCTATAGTACTATGTGAAAAGACCATCCCAAAATCATGTGAGCACTGTACTTGTTCATGGGAAACAAGCTGTAATGTCATAAGCTCACCACCTCTATATTCCTCATAAACTGGTTGCACAAGTCCACTCCCATAACATTGTTTACCTTGAGGCATTATGCCAGGTTCCACTGTGGAACCTAATTATATTCAACATTGTTCACCAGTACTGTAGTTAAATAGCACTAAATATGATTTCAGCATGTCTTTGTTGAACTATATTACATTATTGGGCTGAACACAGCATGAATTTGCAATGGCTTAGTCTCTGTTGTTTTTGCTTCTGTCCCTTGGGTTTAAGGAAATGGCACTGAGCTTTATTTTATACATTTGTGCTCCACTTTTCTCATAGTTCAAGATGGTTAACAAAGCACTACAAAAATGCATATAAAAATAGGGGAATGATAATCTTAAAACTCTTAAAGTAATATATAAAACCAGATCCATAAGACCAATTAAAATTCCAACCAAAATTTGCAAGCTTGATGTTTACAACTTCATCAAGTTTTAGGTTTCTTTGACATACACTGTAAATTGTTTTTAAATTATGGCAACTCATTTTTAACAGGGCCTAATGCACAGCTTTTAGTAGCAACAACCAAGCTACATTGACTCGGTTTCATTTAAACTAAGTGGGATCTTGTGTTCTTTAACTCCCTTTTTATCAGTGTAAACAATAACAGATAGGTTTTTTAAAAATAGTTATTCCTAGGTGCTTCTTGTGCCTTAGCTTCTGCATGAAAATTATGTAGCCAAAGTGCATAGCAATAGAGGCATCTGCTACATGTATCTTGATTATCATACTTCAGTAGAAGGGAATTAAAAAGCACTTTGCTTGTGTCTTAGCTTGGGTAAAAAGTGACTGAGGTGCATAACTGTACATTGGCAGGGATAGTGCAGAAGATTCCTTGAGATTGGTGGTTTTGTAAACTACGTTGGTTGGATTCAATCCCAGATATCCAATTGGCTATCACATATTGTATGTAGATCACCCTGCTGGACATATCTAATGTTTATGTAAAATGTGGATCCTATTTCTGTCCACTGCATGATAAGGAACATCATGCTATATTTCTGGTAAAATCTGAAGCAGAAATGTAGTAGACTTTAAGACAGAAATAAGTTGCACTAGGTTTTTAATTTAAGGGCAGATGTTTGGATTTATTTTTAAGTACACTTGCACTTACAGGATAAGAGGAATCTTAATTTTTTTCTTTATTGATTCAGATGTCTGGATGTGCACCAGTAGGGAAGGTTTGTTGTGTAGAAAGTGGGCTTCAGATTTTGTAACTTGCAAATTACTTATATGTCTTTAAAAAACAAAATAAAGTATCAACGCACCCCTTCTGGAATCCTATCACAAGAATAATGATGAGCTTGACAAGGATGAGCTATAAGTGTAATATGAAGTTGTTATGTTTGTGAGATGTTTATTGAGTAAAAGGAGTTGGCTGACTGGTAGAATAAACACTTCCCACTTGTAGTTAGGAACTGCTAATATCCCTGTTTAATTAGTGATTTTGAGTTTGAAACTAAGCTTGAAACTTAAAAGGCTGGAAGTAAAAAGTTGCACATTTAACAGTTCACTGGAAAAATAAGTTGTGAACTAGGGTGAAGAACAGAAGCTTCAAAGGCATATTATGCCTCAAGGTACTAGAAAAGATTTTTAATTAAGTAGCTGAAAATTTGTGATGTTTTATATAGGCACATACCCAGACATGTACACCTGCCCATTTCTGATCACAGACATAAATCACAAAAGCAGGTGCATTTTGTTTCTATTAACCTCTGCCCTTGTCAGCTACAATCACAAATCACAATCTCCTTACCCAGCATTATATTTGAAAGCAACCATTTAGCTATGATCATGGTTCCAAAAGAGAGAATAAGTTAAGCAAGCTTAGAGTTCTTCCCCAGGCCCTGTTTTCCATGGATGGTCATTCTAGACTTTCTAGCTCTGCCAGGCAGTGTAGCCCATGGCTGCCATAGAAAGGCAACCAGACTGCAATCTCTGATGATATATGGTGAAATAGTGATTCAATAAATGTAGCTCTCTCTCTCTCTCCATACAATCAGAATGGAGGCATTCTGAGCTGTACTGTAAGAACAAATGCTGTACATTTATTGTTGATGAGTGATATTTCACTAAAGCACAAAATGTGTTGTATAAAGTGGGTATGAGTATGAATGTAAGAAATGATGGGATAGAATGTGCAAAACAGCAAACACTGAACTAAGGACACATTATGGACAAAGCATCTGTATCACAAACTTGATTGCTGCTTTTTTCACAGGGAAGAGCTGCAGTGGATGAGGGTTGGAACATAGAAAGGATTTTTCATCCTTTTCTTACTCATTTCTGGTCCTCCCCCTCTTCAGAGTTTCAAAGACATGTTTGTGACAGGAGCCACAGTGAGTGGGTAGCAGGAAGTGGCTTAGGGGGCAGAGCAGATCAAGGATTAAGCACTTTCTGTTCCTCCTTCTATTTTTCTGCTCCTGAAGCTCCCTTTTCATAGGAAAAGCAGTTGGATTTTTGCTTCTTGTATATGAATGCGACACAAAGATTTGGCCTAAGAAGAATGAAATAAATTTGCATATACTCATTTGCAAATACAGTACTTTGCAATGTAGCCATTAGTTCTGCAGTGATTTGTGGCTATGGAAAGCTTTATATGGAAGACCTGGCAGAGGCAAATGATTTAATTTAGTAAGGGATGATAATACAGCTTCAGAGACATCACCATTCTGTATTTTGCAGCTATTGTTCAGAAGCTATAAATGTATATGAATTATCAAGGCTAGACCTGTAACTGGTAGCAGTTGGTTGGGGGGGGTAGGGCAGTGGTGCTCACTTGACCCTCCCATGCCACTGCTTACCAGAAGATGTAGGGGGATGTTGATGTGGTATATTTGCACTGGTGGTAGTGCCATATTAGCTCCACTGTTGTATTCGCCCCATGCCAACCTTGTTGCTGCCACTCCCCTATGCTTTCTGTCAAGCAGCAGAAATGCAAGCAACAGCAGGTCAGGAGACCTCTGCTGGACAGCTACTGCCTGTAATCTGAATGATCTTTTCAGCAACATCTTGGAAATGTTTCAGCAATATTTTGATATTCCTACTGAAGGCTTTGTACAATTTTCTTGTTTTCCCTTTAGCCTCTTTTCCCCAAGAAGAACTACGAATGCTTAACTAGCTGTGAATTCCTCAAATACATCTTGTCGGTGAAGCAAGGAGACTGCCCAGCACCTGAGAAGGCCAGTGGCTTTGCGGCTGCCTGTGTTGAAAGCTGTGAGGCTGACAGCGAATGCTCTGGCGTGAAAAAATGCTGTTCCAATGGATGTGGACATACATGCCAAGTACCCAAAAACTTATACAAAGGTAGATATTGTTTGTAGGCATTTATTTTGGAGCCCGTGGCAAATAAAAGTAGTCTATTGCAGTGTTTCCCAACCGGTGTTCCGCGGCACACGAGTGTGCCGTGAGACGTTGCCTCGTGTGCCGCGAGATGCCTGGAGGGAGGCGGGCGAGTCGGGCGGTGAGAGGCGGGGCGGCGGCGGCGAGGAGAGGCCGCGCCTCCTGCTGCTGCCTGGCGCTCCTCCTCGCAGCCGGCAGCGCTGCCTGGGCGCCTCCGCGCGACTCTGCCTGGCTGGGTTTGGTCTCCCAGCAGAGACGGGTCACACGCGCCCCTCCCTCCCTCCCTCAGCCTGCGCGGAGGGAGAGCCAGAGAGAGGCATCGCTCCTGCGCGGCGGGAGAGGGAGCTTGGCGCGTCCGCGGTTTTTATAGGGCGCCCGGCGCGCACCAGCTCGATAACGGGCACCGGCGCGGCGGGGGGCGCCGGGCCGGGGGAGGGGGGCGGCCGGCCTGTCTCCTTGGCAACCCCATTGAGCAGCGCCGGCTCCCCCGGGAGGGCCATCCCCCCGCGCCGCCGATCGCCAACACCGCCGACGCTGTGGCTGCCCGAGCCCGAGCCTGAGCCTGAGCCCGACCCGGAGCCCGAGCCCGACCCGGAGCCCGAGCCTGAGCCTGAGCCCGATCCGGAGCCCGAGCCCGACCCGGAGCCCGAGCCTGAGCCCGAGCCCGAGCCCGTCAGTCAGTCAGTCAGGAAGGAAGGAAGGAAGGAAGGAGAAATGGGGAGGGAGACGAGGGAGGAAAATTGCACGCAGGGTGAAGAAAGGAGAAGGGCGAACGAGACGAGCTTCCAACCCAAAAAAGGGCTGGAAGACTGGGAGGATGCAGGATCGGGAAAGAAAGCGACGCCTTCCCCGCCCGCGACGTCGCCCGCTTGTCATTGGCAGCGCAGCGGGCGCCCAGAGGGGCTGGGCACCGGCCGCTCCGCAGCCGCGGAGGACAGCTGCGCGGCTAGCAAGGTGCGCCGCGTAGAGCGCGGCCCTTGTGTGGCCCGGTGGCCAGGCAAGCTCGGGCGGGGACCCCCATGCGAATCTAAGACGGGAGAAGAGGGCAGAGCAAAGGGGGTCCCTTCCCCAACCTCCGGCTCTGAGACTTCCCTGAGCCCCAGAAAAGCGAAAGGATTTCCCCTTTTTTTATATATAAATATTTTATTAAGTTTTCAAATACAAAGTTAGAAACATACACTGAAGAAAAAAGTAAAAGAACAAGAAAAAGAAAAAAAGAAAAAGAAGAAAAGAAAACCAACCATTCAACACATTTTTTATATAACTAACTGGACTTCCTCGCATCTCCCTTACCCTGCATTCTTTATAATAAAGATATCAGCAAATTATTACCTTGTTTCGTACCTTATTTTGTACTTTTCAAATACTATACCTCTAAATTTAACATACTTTTCATCAGTTACTTATATCTTAAATTAAACATAGTATTACCTTAGATTTTGACCTTTTCTTACTTAAAATATAATTTCCTGTTTCCCAAATCTAATTGCTGAAGCTATAGTTTCCGAATCGTGTAAATTTTTAACATTCATACAACTTATATTGCTTTTGGAAATAGTCCTTAAATTTTTTCCAGTCCTCTTCCGTTGTTTCTTCTCCCAAATCTCGGATTCTGCCAGTCATTTCAGCCAGTTCCATGTAGTCCATCAATTGCGTCTGCCACTCTTCCAGTGTGGGCAAATCTTGTGTCTTCCAATATTTTGCGATAAGTATTCTTGCTGCTGTAGTTGCATACATAAAGAAAGTTCTATCCTTCTTTAACACTTTCTGGCCAACAATGCCCAAGAGGAAGGCCTCTGGTTTCTTGGGAAAGGTATACTTAAATACCTTTTTTAACTCATTATAGATCATTTCCCAGAAGGCCTTCACTTTTGGACAAGTCCACCAGAGGTGAAAGAATGTCCCTTCAGCCTCCTTACATTTCCAACATTTATTATCAGACAGGTGATATATTTTTGCAAGCTTGACTGGGGTCATGTACCACCTATAAATCATTTTCATAATATTTTCCTTCAAGGCATTACATGCCGTGAATTTCATTCCGGTGGTCCATAACCTTTCCCAGTCCTCAAACATGATGTTATACCCAATATCCTGAGCCCATTTTATCATGGCTGATTTGACTGTCTCATCCTGAGTGATTTTCTCTTCAACCTGCCCTCCATTCTCTTGCGGAAAACTCTTTGCCTGCCCTGCCCGTATCTCGTTTTTGCTTTTTAATTCCACACACGCACCCTTCAGACTTCGTGGCAATCGGGCGCGCGGGTGCGTTTCCTAAGAGAGTGAGGACCCCCGCCTCCTCCCCACCTGCTCCCTCGCCAGCCAGCCAGCCAGCCGCGCGCCCTAGCCGGAGAGCCCCGGCCGTCCCCGTCGCGCAATCGGCTGGATCTCCCTTCAGCAGGCCGTGCTCACAACTCGGCCCAGGGACCCCCAGCAGCGGATCTCCGGCCCAGCTGAAGAATCCGGCAACAAGCCCCCTCCTCCCCAATCGCTCCGCCGAAATATGCTCCAAAACCCCCCAGATAGGCCGCCGGCCGCCAAGTCTCGTGGCGCCCTGAGCGAGGGTCTCTCCCCAACACCGCCACCTTGAACTGCGTTCTCCCGGCTACCCGAGCGAACCAGCGGCAGGACCCCGGTATGGGCCCCCCCAATATTTTTTATAAGTCGGCGCCCCTGATAACTATAACTCGTGGTTCTGATGTCCCAACGCTCCCACGGGGCACATTTCATTCAGGCGGAGGAGGGGGTCGTTGGCTAACGGCCAACAGGCAGAAAGGACTGTCCAACAATGCGATTATCCACACACACACATCTGATCCATGGATTAACATCAAAATCCTTGCATTAAAGCTCACTCCTAAGGAACCAGTGGGTCATTAGGCTTTCAGATGCACTTTGAACAAAGAGATGTTCAAAGGGAAAGCTGCTTTTAATAACGCTGCTTTTGCAGGTACTATTGGTCTGGGTCTCATCCAGCATCTTTTCAGTACACCCAGTTAGGATTCAGCAGTCCAGTTGTACACTCTTGGGTATTCAGCATTAGCTTAAGGCGTGCAATAATCACATGCCCACTTTTGCAGCATCTTCATAGCATCCCAAGTCACTCTTGGAATGCTCTCTTTATCATACCCTGCAAGTGTTTACTTGTGTAACACATCCTACCATATCTTGCAGAGAAGCACTTCAGAGAGGGCCAAAACCCCCCACACTTGGTGCCATTTTCATCTACACATGCAGCAGAGTAAGTTGACCCAGAATAGTACCAATTCAGATGGCAGATGGGAGAATGACAGTGCTGAATGCTTTCCCATGTAGAACAGTCCCTGCAAATAAAAACCTAGCATATTTGGAAGAGGGATGCTAGCCTAACCATTACCTTCTATGCTGTTACTATTTTTTTTATTTTTTTTTACATAAGTAAAAAGTGACCTTTCCCCATCTGGCATGGTGGTGTGCCTCGAGATTTTTTTCATGAAACAAGTGTGCCTTTGCCCAAAAAAGGTTGGGAAACACTGGTCTATTGCATATTGTAGCAGGAGTACAAAGTGTGTTGGAGAATGGGAAAAGGGGAAGGGGTTGGGGGAAATGAAACAGAGGTTCATAATTCTTCCAGCCCCATAAGTCTGCCTACAGAATCCAATTTAGTACATGGAATTTCATACTCCCTGTCCCATCTAAGCACTTCCAGTCCATCAATCCCACCCCCCTTTTTCTCTGTTGCTAGAAGCATAATTAGTCATTGTGTGCAAACTTGGAGGGTTAAATCAGGGACTGACACATAAGTCCAAAGGTGATTTTAAAAAAGAAGATGAAGAGTGAACATTAGTTTGTGTTAACAAGGGTTAACATTGGTGGGGTCGTTATGACAATCTATTAAAGCTAGCAAGGCTAATTCATGCATGTGGTGGTAGGAGTTGGAGAAAGAGAGTGCGAAAGCAGCTATTCTGGATCATTTGACAGTAGTTAGGGGGTGGATGTGGTTACTTCTGCACCTCCCCAAAAAACAACTGAAGAGTTTTTAAAGTGCTTAGTGGAATAGAAGTTTGATGGCTTCCAATGTTCAGTTGAGCCTTGTTCATATTTTGTCAAAAGGTTTCTTCAGGCTAATGCTGGAATTACTTTATACCAGAGGTTTTCAACCTTTCTGAGTCCACGACTTCCTTGACCAACTACATTCTTTCTGTGGCACCCCTGTGGGGATCAGGAGCCCAATTATGTCACCCCTTCCCTGCAGAGCTGGCAGCCTCTCGCCCTTTTTCGAACACCCGCCCTTGTGGAGTGTTCCCTCAGACTCCTCTCTGCTTTTCTTTCCTTGTGAGTTCTCCGGGCAGCAGCTGCTGCAGCTCCTGGTCTCTGAGATTCTCCCACCCCAAAAAGAGGTGCCTCCCAGAGGCACCATTTGCCTGTGGAGCTTATAGCCAGGGCTGCTGCAATAAGCAGCTGTGCAAGCCTTTGGGAGGCAGAGATGCAAAAGGGCATCACAGAAGGGAGGGAAAGAAAGAGGGACACAAGCTAATCTTGCCCGCAGCATCCCTGACCATCATTCAAGGCACCCCAGGGTGCCATGGCACACTGGCTGAAAACTACTGCTTTATACCTTCTAACATTTTAGGTGACAACAGTTGTGTTTTCTTCCTCATAAATACTTTCGAAGTCAGATTTTACATGACTGCACTTCCTCCTTTTAAGTTTATTGCACCAGAAGATTATAGTTCCCATGATTTCTTACAGGAAGTTGTAGCAGACAAACTTTCTTAAGAACAATGTTATGCTCTGAAAAATTGTACTGTAGAAGAAATTTGTATTATAAAAAAATATAATACAGGAATGATACATCACTATTACTTTAGTTAGGTTAAGATAAAAAAATATAACCCCCCCCAAGGAAAATACTTTTTAAAATTTCAGTTGATTAAAGCTGAATGAATTAATTTGGATTTAAAAACAGAAAGATATTTCAAATGAATAATTCACTTATTTCACTAGATTTAAAGGACATGGGATTAGATCCTCTGTAATAATGAAAAATGATTAACCTTGGTTGACCTTCTTCTCCATTCCCACCTTAGTGACTCTTAGATATATCCTCACAGGAAAGGGATGACAGAACAGACAGTATTGGTAACACCCACTTATTGGGTGTTGCATGTTTGAATGCACTCCTACATTTATTTTAAAAATCCCAACTCTAATCGGAGTTGTTGCTTGTAGGTGATTACATGATTAGCTCTTCTGCCAGAAACTGGAACATGCTGGAAGTGTGCTGGAAGTTTTTTGGGGTGGGGAAAGGGGCAGAGGTAAGCTGTGCTTGAGAAAAACAATCCATACACTACAGCAAATGCCCTTAATTTAGCGAGAATTGACATACATGGGGGAATGCTGATGATCGGAGATTAATTTTGAGCAGCCCCATACAGAATTCATTGCAGGAATCCAAGCTGAGGCTCATCAGTGTATGTATGTACAGTAGTGGACTAGTATTCCAGTCCAGAAACAGATGTTATCTGTCTTGTGCTCCGAGCTCCAAAAGCCACCCCCCACGGTAATAAAGACACAGTGGAGACAGAATTTAGTTTTAATGTTAATGGGCAAATTTTGGCCACAACTTTATTAAATACATAAATGTGACTGGTATTGGCTTAGGCATTGGTATCAAAATTATAACTGGCTCCTGCCCCACCCTGCAGGAAGCCTGGAAGGGTAAACTACCAGCAAGGGGAGCTCCATCAATTATATGACTGATGCTCATCCCTGGGGTTCCCGGGGGTCCTGGCATGGCCCTGGGCTTCGGACAAGATCCAGACCCCCGGATTCCTTTAATGGAATACCCTATTAATTGGAGGGGCAGGTGATGGCCGCACCTCCCCCCCCACACATTCCCCTAAACCAATGCCTAACTACCAAATCTTACAAAGTTGTGGCAATTGCTAAGAGGTAGGCAAAAACCAAGTGGCCACAGCCAATCTGCCACATGGGAAAAAATTCCTACCCGGCCCCCGTTCCAAAACAGGTGACCAACCGAAGTCCAAAGCAAGGCGGAACATAACCTAATTAACGGGTGGGCGGGCGGGTGTTTGGCAGTGCAAAGCAAGAGGAAGTCCCCACGTCGTGCTGCCAAATAAATACCCCCAACCCCCAAACTTGCCAACGCTGCCGATTGGCTAAAGGCCAGTGGCATAAGTGTGGCATCACCGGCTGGAGCGGGGCAAACCCTGACCACAAGCCGGTTGGGGAAGAGTTCCAGGGCCAAGCACAACATGGACCTTCTGTTAGGAGGATCCAACTTGCCAGCCATAGCTGGTAAAAATATTCCTAGCCGCTGAGGTCACCCGAGTCTCTAGTGACAGAGATTGAGGAGCATCCCACCAAAATATGAACCTGCTCCTTCAGGGGGAGTATGACCTCTTCCAAAGCAGGCATTTGACCATTTATCCAGGCTTGAGAGCCACCCATTCACAGGACCATCTTTGGGGAGTTATAGTAATGAATGCTGGCAATCACATTTTGATTATAATTTTTTTCTGATGTCTCTGGATATTGATACACACTGGGTGTGAAGGCTAACTTTCACCATACTTCAGATATTCACTGTAACTTACAAAGGCATTACAATTCTTGATAATATGTGCTGTGGGTAAAAGGAGATTTATTTATTTGTTGTTGGAGAACCTGACTTAACAACTCTTAATGCATCAAATCTATATTTGTTCTTATAATTTACTAAGGAGCACTGGTGTGTTGAACTTGATTTGTGTTCCATGTGCTGCTACTCAAGCTGCCACACAGGTTTGTAGGATCTAAATTTAGAATCTAAGCTAGTAAGCCTTTGATGTTCTTTTGAATGCTGCCTACTGTGGAAGTTCAGCCCAACCTGTCACCATTTAATGCTAAGTCTACATGGTGGACAACAGCGTTTCTACAATGGCAGCTCTGCATGTAAAAAAATAAAATAAATAATGGCAGGGGGAAGAGAAGAAATAAAACCTGTCTGGTATTAACCCAGTAAAAGGCCAAGAGGTACACATATTTCTAAAAGCCAAGAAATCTGGAGTTCAGAGGACTAATTTGTGCTTCAACGATGGATACAAATCTTTTTATCTAATAAAAAGCACATTTCTAAATGACTGCAAATGTACATCTGGACTTGAAATTGATTATTCTGGTTGTATTGGAATATTCCAAAATGCACTTGTGCTATGTTCTGCTTGCACTCATGAGAACCATCTGAACACAATTACAGCCACCAGGGGGGCTAAGTTAGTTCCAATCAAGTGAATCCAACGAACCCTAATGTAAAACAGATGGAAGGTTTCTCAGCATGCAGATTGGAGGGTTATTATACATAATAATTAAGCATGGATTTTCAAATGCATAAAGCTGAAATATCATTCTTAGCAATATTAGTTACAGTGTATGAAGACTGGTGGCTATCTAGTGATATCCAGAAATAAATGTATGAGCTTTTGATGATATGCTTTATTCCTGGCAATTTTAGGACGCGCTCTCTCTCTCGCTCTCTCTCTCTCTCTCTCGTGTGTGTGTAATACATTGGAACACTTGGAGAAAGGGTCTGTTTTTCGATCTCTAGGAAAGGTGGTTTGTTTATCCATAGAAGTGTAGAAGTTGAAACAATAAACCTCAGATTTTGCCAAAGTCATAAACTAAGCTGGGAATTTATGTAAATCTCAAACAGTCCTCTAAATCTGCAGTCACTTGAAAAAAATGGGAGTGGAGGGGAGAGAGAAATTCCAGCTTGACCTCTCTGGAAGCAGAACTGCCTATTATGATAAATGTGGAGCAGCTGCTAAAACCAGTACAGTGGTACCTCGGGTTAAGAACTTAATTCGTTCTGGAGGTCCGTTCTTAACCTGAAACTGTTCTTAACCTGAGGAACCACTTTAGCTAATGGGGCCTCCTGCTGCCGCCATGCTCCCGCCGCATGATTTCTGTTCTCATCCTGAAGCAAAGTTCTTAACCCGAGGTACTATTTCTGGGGTAGTGGAGTCTGTAACCTGAAGCATCCATAACCTGAGGTACCACTGTAACTGTTAAGGTATTCTCATTTTTTTGCAAGATGTAAGTACACTTACCTGTGAACTTACAGCACAGTGTGCCCTTCCTCACAAATGGCAGCCAATCATGTGGAAAGTGGGCAGGGAACCATATTACGTGTGGGATAAGGGTGTGCAAAGAATGATGATGAGAATTTTACGACAAACATAGAGCAGTCAGTGAAAACAGTAATCTTGTTTCAATTATAGTATTCACTGATTTGGCTTCTATGTTTGCTGTACTGAATGCGCAGTCCATTTTAGAACTCCATACTCTGAAGTCAAGGCCGAGCCTTAGGTTTTCTCTAAAGATGATGTATCATTTAACAATATTACATAGAAATTTGCTAAGACTTGTGGGGCTCTCAATATGTGAGTTCTGCCACCGTCCCCCATTTAACCTGTATATTAGCTCATCACACAGATGTTGGCTTTATTCCACCCCAATGCCTTGAAAACCCTTCTACAGGTACCATATTCTGAAGATAATTCCCAATGTGAAACAGTATGTAATAGCTAGCAGCTGCTTTCCTAGTATAGTGATGCCTTTTGCAACCACCGTGGTCACAGAAATGGCTGCTTGCTGCTATAAATGGCTGCATCTGCAAAGAGCTTGGTTCAGTCTTGACTTTCTTTGCAGAAAGGATCACCTGGAGGAATTAAATAGCTGGTTTCATTTTGTAAACTCACCAGTACTACTAATCAAACAAATGTAATGGAATAGGGGTCACCAATGGGAACATTTTGATTTTTCAACAAGTTCTGGGGGTGCCACCCCTGTTTGGTCACTACTTTTCCCTCCCCTGGCTCAGCCCCACCACCCCAAGACACAGGAAGAGAAACTGTGTGTGCACAGTTCACTGCTTCCCAAGCCATCTGGGTAAAAGTCGGATTCAGTAGAATTAATCTGAGCCTTGAAATCACAGAGTGCTACAAGATGAAGTGGGAAAGAAAAAGCATTCCTCTTAAAGCTTCCTCCTTAAGCTCTACATACTTCTTGGGGGGGGGGGAGAGGCAGGGACAGGTAACCACCTTGGCCACCTCATGACCATGTGAAGTGGCTCAGAGGCTTTGTGGGCACTAATGGAAGCTTTTCAAGATGTCATTACAACCACAGGCACTGTTTGCAACTCTTGGGATGGCTTGTGGTTGAATAGTGTGACTCATCAATATGCTTCTGTTCTGATTCAGTCACTGGAGAAGAACAGTAAGGTAAAGTGCATGATAATGAGGATAGATCTCTTTGGGCTGTAAATTTAGTGGTACTAAATATATAGTTGATATACAAATTTACTTACACACAGCTTCTTTGCATGCATCACTTATGTTTCAGGTGTTCCTTTGAAACCCAGAAAAGAATTAAAATTCAGTGAACTTCAATCTGGACAGCTGGAAGTGAAGTGGTCTTCAAAATTCAATATCTCTATTGAGCCTGTGCTTTATGTGGTGCAAAGGAGATGGAACTATGGGATTCATCCCAGCGAAGATGATGCTACCAGTTGGCAAACTGTAGCTCAGGTTAGTCCTTTCTACATAAATCTGCATTATTTTCAGGCCATTCATCCTGAGTATCAGGCAGTGAAATAGTTTTGGCTGGTCTTGGTGGCCAGCTATGAATTTGTTGTCCCAGAGACTCACTTCCTCCAAAGTGCAGCCTTTAATCTAGACTTTTGCTGCACCAAGAAGTGAAGCGAGGTCCATAAAAATTGCTGCTCCTCTTTCCAGGGTTAAGCGTAGATGACTGATTCTGCCAATTTAAAAAGAAGCCCCTGGTCCCCTTAAGCTCAGAGCAAGACAGGAGTCAGTGGTTTCTTGACTGTGCTTTCTGGGGACTCAGAAGACTCACCAGGTGCAGGGGCAAGCCATGGAACTCCTGACTTCAGCTCCAAGGTGGGGAAACATTGGCTTGCTCTGTGCCTGTTAGGTGTCAAATATCAGACACAGAGGGAAGCCTGCAGCTGGAGACAGGAGCTGGAGGCTTGATATGTCTGACAAGCACAGAGCCAATAAAAATTCCAGACTTCTGCTGAGCTTTTGGGCTTTGAGGGGTGGAGATCATCTCCAGTTCTGTTTCACGGCTCCGGGGTTGAGAGAGAGCTTCTCTTACTTGCCAAAAACAAGTATAGCAAAAATCTTGATCCCTGGTATTCATTCATAGATGCATTGTTCAATGTTGTGTTGCTTGGGCTTGCATACAGAGGCATTTCTTTGTTAATCTGTTGCATCAAATACTGGGATAGGTTCCATTTTACAGTTGATGGACTGAAGGTAGCGTAGAGAAAAAACTTTTTTCATCCACTAGACAGGGAAACTCTAAAAGAAGCTAAGTTAAATTCCCATCTATGGCAAATAAATGTTCTTGGTGTTGCGTCATGTTCAAATATATAAAAGGATATCATATAGAGGAGGGAGAAAGGTTGTTTTCTGCTGCTCCAGAGAAGCGGACACGGAGCAATGGATCCAAACTACAAGAAAGAAGATTCCACCTAAACATTAGGAAGAACTTCCTGACAGTAAGAGCTATTCGACAGTGGAATTTGCTGCCAAGGAGTGTGGTGGAGTCTCCTTCTTTGGAGGTCTTTAAGCAGAGGCTTGACAACCATATGTCAGGAGTGCTCTGATGGTGTTTCCTGCTTGGCAGGGGGTTGGACTCGATGGCCCTTGTGGTCTATTCCAACTCTATGATTCTTTGATTCTTTGACTGTCCCAGATTCAGTCTGTAGAAACTTTAGTTAAATTAAGGCCCTGATTCAACTAAATCATTGCACTAATGGGAGCCAGAGCAGCAAGTCCTTCTAGCACAATAGGGCTCCCTCCCTCTTTCCTGCTATGCCTCCCCAAATTGGCACTGCAAAGTCAGGAGAACCTTCAGAACAGCACATGTGTGTGGGGTGGGGTGGAGGAGAATGGAAATTGGTCCATGTGGCAAGTATGTGCTGACAGTGATCTCCTTAGTGCTACTTTGAATTCCACCCTTTATCAGGTAGCACAGGAAAGACTCAATAAAGAGTTGCTTGACGTAAGGCCATTTTCTGTGCACCTAAGGATATGAAGAAGGAGAAAACCATGACCCAAGGCTTCCGCCTTCCTGAATAAACAAAGTATAAGTGATTACAGGATTCACTCACTCAGAGTAAACTAAGTCTCTGTGTTAACCTGGTTTCCTACTGCAGACTACAGAGGAGAGAATACAACTGTCCGACATCAGGCCAAGCAGGTGGTACCAATTCCGAGTGGCTGCCATTAACGTGCATGGAACTAGAGGCTTCACAGCTCCTAGCAAACACTTCCGCTCTTCAAAAGGTTGGTGTCAACATTGAGCATATCTGTCTTTACCTGGAATGCAACCCAACCCTCTACGTTTCTGTGGTTGCAACTTCCCAACAGGTGATTCTTCGTGCATTGAATCATTGCCTTTATGAATGGCTTCAAGGTAGTTTATCATTTTCTTTTTGAAGGTGCCATTGATCCTTCAAGCAATGCTGTAACAAATAGGCCTCCCATTTCAATTTCTTTGAACATTATCATTAGTAATAACAACTGAGATTTATTTATGTATTTGTGCAACATCAAATGTGAAAATAATCTGAGACTGTTTATCTGCTGGCACGGTCAGCGTCTAATACAGTTTGGCTTATTTTTGAGGTTTACTAGTGATTCTGACTTCTTGCCATTTTAAGAAAACAGTTTTTGAACATTTAGAATTTTATTTCCGTCTCTTATTTGCTTCCGTTTGTGCTGTTACTAGGACGCAGCATTTCTATCTCATTGCATGTTGTATTTATTTTCCAATCATGTTTCATGACATAATCATGATTTCACACATAAACAATTGCTCTGGAAAAAAATTAAGACACTAAATTTCTTTAGTGTGTGTAAATTCTGGCTTTCTTTTCTTTTAAATTAGGGACATTTAATAATCCACTAAGCTTTAAAAATACTAGAGTTACTGGATTAGTCTAGTCCTTTTCAAGAGCCACCCAGCTTCTTCTAGTTCATAAGCAAGATCTAAAAGGAAAAGCCCCAATGTTTCTCTGCAAATAATACCTTAATGCTTATAAGTGTGTGTGTGTGTGTGTGTGTGTGTGTATATATAATTAAAAAATACACTAAAAGACCTGTTTCAGGTGTACTACTACAAACGTTCTGATAGGGTAATAGTGCTATTATGTGAAACCCTTATTATATTCAATTTAGTGTTACACTAAACTCAAACTGTTGTGTGACTGTGCTGGTGGTCCAACAAGATGTTTTCTGAGTCTATGGCCAATCCACTCAACACATTTAAAGTGTTTTTAATACAAACATTATTAAAACCCTGCAAACAACAAGCAATAATTATTGGACAAAGTTGTGATTACCGTATTTTTCGTCCTATAGGGCGCACCGGCGCATAGGACGTACCTCGTTTTTTGGGGGGTGAAATGAATTAAAAAATAATATCCCCCCACCGCGGCGCCGCACCAAGCCTTGCGCACACTTGCCCGAAGCACGGGGCACCCTCCGGAGGGCTCCCTGTGCTTCGGGCGACAGGCTGCCGGCCCAAGACTTGTGCACCCGGCGAGACCTCCTGCTGGGCGCGCAAGGCTTGCGGACACTCGCCCGAAGCAGGGGGAGCCCTCTGGAGGGCTCCCTGTGCTTCGGGCGACAGGCTGCCGCCCCAAGCCTCGCACGGTCGGCGGGACCTCCTGCCGGGCACGCAAGGCTTGCAGACACTCACCGGGGCTGCAGGCTGCTGCCCGCAAGCCTTGTGAGCCCACGGGAACTCCCCCTGGGCTTGCAAGGCTTGTGGATAGCTTCCTGAAGCCTGGAGAGCGAGAGGGGTCGGTGCGCACCGATGCCTCTCGCTCTCCAGGCTTCAGCGAAAGCCTGCATTCGCCCCATAGGACGCACACACATTTCCCCTTCATTTTTGGAGGGGAAAAAGTGCGTCCTATGGGGCGAAAAATACGGTACTTCCTCAGTTATAGTATCTTAGAGTGGCTCTATTCTTACAATTTATAGTTATTAGCTGCTATTAATTTTTAACTTCTCAAAGGAAGCAAATTTTCATAGAATCATAGAGTTGGAATAGACCACAAGGGCCATCGAGTCCAACCCCCTGCCAAGCAGGAAACATCACCAGAGCACTCCTGACATATGGTTGTCAAGCCTCTGCTTAAAGACCTCCAAAGAAGGAGACTCCACCACACTCCTTGGCAGCAAATTCCACTGTCGAACAGCTCTTACTGTCAGGAAGTTCTTCCTAATGTTTAGGTGGAATCTTCTTTCTTGTAGTTTGGATCCATTGCTCCGTGTCCGCTTCTCTGGAGCAGCAGAAAACAACCTTTCTCCCTCCTCTATATGACATCCTTTTATATATTTGAACATGGCTATCATATCACCCCTTAACCTCCTCTTCTCCAGGCTAAACATGCCCAGCTCCCTTAGCTGTTCCTCATAAGGGATCGTTTCCAGGCCTTTGACCATTTTGGTTGCCCTCCTCTGGACACGTTCCAGTTTGTCAGTGTCCACAGTACTCCAGGTGAGGTCTGACCAGAGCAGAATACAGTGGCACTACTACTTCCCTTGATCTAGATGCTATACTCCTATTGATGCAGCCTAGAATTGCATTGGCTTTTTTAGCTGCCGTGTCACACTGTTGGCTCATGTCAAGTTTGTGGTCAACCAAGACTCCTAGATCCTTTTCACATGTACTGCTCTCAAGCCAGGTGTCACTCATCTTGTATTTGTGCCTCTAATTTTTTTGGCCAAGTGCAATACTTTACATTTCTCCCTGTTAAAGTTCATCTTGTTTGTTTTGGCCCAGTTCTCTAATCTGTCAAGGTCGTTTTGAAGTGTGATCCTGTCCTCTGGGGTGTTAGCCACCCCTCCCAGTTTGGTGTCATCTGCAAATTTGATCAGGATGCCCTTGAGTCCATCATCCAAGTCGTTGATAAAGATGTTGAATAAGACCGGGCCCAAGACAGAACCCTGTGGCACCCCACTAGTCACTCTTCTCCAGGATGAAGAGGAACCATTGATGAGCACCCTTTGGGTTCGGTCAGTCAGCCAGTTACAAATCCACTGAGTGGTAGCATAGTCAAGACTGCATTTTACCAGCTTCTTTACAAGAATATCATGGGGCACCTTGTCAAATGCCTTGCTGAAATCAAGGTAGGCTACATCCACTGCGTTCCCTTCATCTACCAGGCTTGTAATTCTGTCAAAAAACGAGATCAGGTTAGTCTGACATGACTTATTTTTCAGAAATCCATGCTGACTATTGGTGATCACAGCATTCCTTTCTAGGTGCTCACAGACTGTTTGCTTAATGATCTGCTCCAGAATCTTCCCTGGTATTGATGTCAGACTGACTGGGCGATAATTATTTGGGTCCTCTCTTTTCCCCTTTTTGAAAATAGGGACAACATTTGCCCTTCTCCAGTCTGCCGGGACTTCGCCTGTTCTCCAGGAATTCTCAAAGATGACTGCCAGTGGTTCTGAGATCACATCTGCCAGTTCTTTTAATACTCTTGGATGCAGTTCATCTGGCCCTGGAGACTTGAATACATCTAAACTAGCCAAGTATTCTTGTACTATCTCCTTAGTTATTCTGGGCTGTGTTTTCTCTGCTGAATCATTTGCTCCAAATTCTTCAGGTCGGGCATTGTTTTATTTATTGGAGAAGACTGAGGCAAAGAAGGCATTGAGGAGTTCAGCCCTTTCTGTGTCCCCTGTTTGCATTTCACCATCTTCTCCTCTGAGTGACCCCACTCTTTCTTTGTTCTTCCTTTTGCTACAGACATACCCATAAAAGCCTTTTTTGTTGCTTTTAACCTCTCTAGCAAGCCTGAGTTTATTCTGTGCTTTAGCTTTTCTGACTTTGTGTCTACATGTGGTGGCTATTTGTTTGAATTCCTCTTTGGTGGTTTTCCCCCTTTTCCATTTTTTGTACACATCCTTTTTAAATCTTAACTCAGTTAAAAGTTCTTTAGATAGCCACCCTGGCTTCTTTAGGCACCTTCCATGTTTCCGTCTCATTGGTATTGCCTGAAGTTGTGCTTTTACTATCTCCCTCTTAACAAACTCCCAGCCATCATGAACTCCCTTTCCTTTTAGTATTACTGTCCATGGGATCTCACCCAGAACTTCCCTAAGTTTTATGAAGTCGGCTTTCTTAAAGTCAAGAAATTGAGTCCTAGTATGCTTGGCTGCTCCTTTCCGCTGTATAGTAAACTTCAGAAGAGCATGATCACTCGCGCCTAATGATCCTTCCACTTCTACCCCACTAACCAGGTCATCAACATTGGTTAGGACCAGATCTAAAATTTTTATATGCTGTGAAATAATGATGATCTTTAGGGTGCATTTGTATGCGCCATTGTGTGTGTGTGTGTATTTTTTATATCTATATAAAATGCCAGCCAGCCAAGGTACCACAAAAGTTTTTAATTTGGTTAACATGTGTATTAAAAAAAACCATTGGTGTCAATACTATTTGAAGGCTGACATTTTATAATCTATTTCTTCTTTCCCAACTGCAAAATGATTTATTTTTTGAAAACCTGAAAGCATAATCCTGCTGTCCCATAGTAGATTTATTTTCATGTAGTGAATATCACATTCTGAAAAGCATGTGAGAACCTATCAATAGACACTAGGAAGTGTTAATAGGTTTCTCATTCCTTTGGTGTTGGCAGGCTCTGTTGTTGCAGAATGGGATGCAATACAAATGAACAGATTCCCTTCCTGCTGCCTCAGCCAGGATAAAATTTAGGCAAAGTTTAGTGGGAGTAATAAAGTCTTGCACTGTCAGCAAAATTTGATGTTACCGTGTTCCTTTAATGATTCCCACACCGTCTTGTTTGCTTTTTAAAATGGCCTCAGACAGATTAAACAGTCTCTTAAAAAAAAACCTATAAAAAACTTGTTAAAACAAATGAATTTATTCGGCCATATACCTTAACAAGAACATACCAGTATATGCTGAAGTATCAGCATGGAATAGAATCCCAAATCAACAATGCTTGCATAATTACTGGGATGTGCAATCAGAAACAAAGATGAAAGATCCCATTCATATTTCACTTGGATTTAATAAATATGAGTGCTTTCTTTGAAGAGAACACCTTCACACATATAGTGGTATTTGAAAAGGTTTCCTTGGAAAATGGATCAGTAAACAATTGGGGGCCCCTCCCCAAGAGGTTCACAAAATACATGCCGGTGTCAAGAGAGTGTCCCGGTGTCCTCCATTGTCTTCAAACACAGGAGTTATTAATTCCCAAATAGGGCTTAAATACCTCTTAGTCAACTGGAGA